GCCTGATGCCCTATTCTTTCTCTGCTGTATAACGATATTTGTTTGTACTGCTGCTGCTGCTGTTGCTGCTGCTGCTGCACTTACTAGCTGCACACCTTTTCGCAGTTAAAAATGTGTTTGAATTTTATTTCTTTTTAAATAGTTGAATTAAATATTGAAATATGTTTTAATAATTATTAATAATAGAGTTATTTACTTTAAAAAAACAATAATTATTAAAGGGGCTGCTCCGGGAATTGAACCCGGGACCTCTCGCACCCTAAGCGAGAATCATACCACTAGACTAAGCAGCCACTTGAACTGACCCCTTTTCTTTTCTAAGCTGCGATTTCAGTGCTGCTGCTGCTGCTGCCGCTGCTGCTGCTGCGGCGGCGGCTGCTGCTGCTGCTGCGGCTGCTGTTGCGACTGCTGTTGCAGCTGCTATTGCTGTTGCTGCGGCTGCTGCTGCAGCTGCTGATGCTGCTAATGCTGTTGCTGCGGCAGCTGCTGTTGCTGCTCTTGCTGTTGCTGCAGCTGCTGATGCTGCTACTGCTGTTGCTGCTGCTGCTGCAGATAAAAGGGGTATAGGAGAATAGAAGAGCGAAGCAAAAGGAGGGGGTGAATAGCCTAGAAGGCTTTCTTACTGAATTTGTCCGTTATATTTGCCTCTCTTACTATACATAATAATAGATTAACTATTATAATTAATAATCATAGTAAGAATAGCAAACATAACAATATAATTAATAATTATATATATATGTTCTTGTCTTTATATTCACTCATTAGATACAAGAGCGTCGAGGTCTCCAACCCCCGCATAAACCCTTTCTATCCCTCTCACGCCCCCTCCTGCCGCGCTGCAGCAGCAACAAAACAAACAAACACAACATAAACCCTAAACCCTAAACCCTAAACCCTAGTGGATTAAGCTGTCTTTACATGAATAGATGCATCCCCGTACACTCTAGTAAACCCTAAAAAACCCCAGCCACTAACCCTAAACCCTATTTCAGAACCGTACCCTGTAAACCCTAAACCCTAAACCCTAAACCCCAAACCGTCAGCCCTATCTCCCCAACCCTAAACCCTAACCCTTAGACCCTATCCCCCCACCCCTAAACCCTAAACCCTAAACCCTAATCATTTGTATGAATTACCGTTTATGATAGAAGAGGCTGATAGATCTGAACGCCACTACAGCCATAGCTACAGCAGCAAAAGCTAAAGTAGTTTCTACACGACGCTCTTCCGATCTTCTCCTTCCGCTTACAATGACAACAGAGAAGCTCGAGAAAACAAAACAAATCAGAGAAAATATAAACAATCGCAATATGCTGTCTTGGTCGCGGCGTAGCTGCCGAATTGCTGCAGCCATGTCGCTGAAGCCCTCCTGTCCTCGAAGACCCAACCCTAATAAACAAAAATAAATAAATAAATAAATTAATTAATTAATTAATACTTAATTTGATTAATTAGTTAATTAATATATTTATTTATTAGTTAAATGCAAAAAGATTTAATTAAAATGCTAACAAAGCAAAGGCAAAGACACTCGGAGACTCCACAGACGTATACAGCACATGCGTTAATATATATATATATATATATATATTTATATATTTATATTTATATTCATAGTTGACATTATATATATATGTATACTCTTCATTTGTATTGTACATGTTTCTTCTTGAAACTGAATATACATGTAAATATAAATATACATATTGATATGCATATATATATACATATATATACATATATATGCATATATATATACATATACATATATATATATATATATATATATAAATATATATATATGCATA